AGAAGGAGGAGGAGGAGGAGGAGGAGGAGGAGGAGAGATCCCAAGACCTTTGCCCACCATGAATGAGATATAAACACCCAGGAAGTACAGAACCATACAGCCCTGCTGGCAGTGAACTCACCAAGACTCTTCCATGTGGCTGATACCAAGTGCTCCACACCCTGGCTCTGGACACGGCCAGGGGATTGCAGATGACCTAAGGGAGCATCACTTTGTTCCTCACTTGCAACTGGATTCAGGAGTTTCAGGAAGGGCAGGGCTGGGGTGGGAGGATCAAAGGTTCCAGCTTACTCCCTTCAACTTTTCATTTTTTGTTTTTCACCCAAACGACTCTTCATTTTTTTGTTTGATGAAGATTAGGAAGAAAGGGGCCAGATGAGCCCTAATTTACTGCTTCTGCCTAAAGCCAGCTCTGCGTCAAAAGGAAGAGAGCAAGTGGATTATGAAAAGAAAACAAATGGAGAAAAAAAGAGGGTAAAGGATAAACTGCCTTCAGTAATGTTTATTAATTTGATTTTAATGGCAAAAAGGGATCCTTTCCAGCAGTTCACCTTCCTGGGAAGCCTGGAGTCCCCACACACTCTGAGGTCCTTCCTGGTGACACTGCTATGAGGTAGATCAGAGCTATTCTGTGTCTAATGTAACAGGCACTGGTGCACAGAAAGCTGCAGCAGAGGACACAGATCCCTGAACTGGGGCCTTTTCAAGCCTCCTGCCCTCAGTCTGGGTCATGGAGCCTGCAGACTCTGAGAGGTTCATGGGATCAGGAGTGGAGCCTGAGGTGCCCTCCCCATCCTGCACTCTCAGCACACGTGAGCGAGACCACAGGTCACAGTTGACCCAGCAGCCCAGCTGCTGAGGTAGTAGTGTGTTCATGGGGGAAGCTCAGAAACTTTCAGGACAGGGATTGTCCACTTGGTTTAGGGTCTGCTTCCCTCCCCACCCTACAGCCCAGTCAGTAGGTTGCACAGAACAGAGTTCCACAGCTCAGCAGCTAGCTAGGGCTCATGAGCAGAGGCCAGAGACTTCCAAAGGAAACATCCAAGGAGCTATTTATTGTCCTTCAGGCCTAAAGAGCCCCCTGGAAGCTCTGGAAGGTGAAAATAATGAATCTTACGGTGGGAACAGAAGCACTGAAGAAAAGGAGCGGGCCTGGGAAGCATACTTAAGAGGGCCTTAGGAAGCATATTTAACTACACAAAATCATGGTGACCAGCCAGGTGCAAAAATCCCACCCCAAACACCTGAAGAACGTCGCTGCATTTCCAAGCATAGCTCCTCTAGCAGTCCGACCTCTGAGGAAAACCACAACCAATTCCGGGGTTGGGAGGCCCACACCCTCCAGTGCAAGTGCGAGACAGGTGTGTTGACTGTAGAGAGCTGGGCGACTGAACCACTGAGCTAGAAAACTCAGGGCGAGACGGAGTGTCAGAGGCCCAAATGAAGAACACCCCGCCTGTCCTTCGTTGCAACCCTGGTGATCAGATCAAGAAGAGGAAAGGAGGGCCCGGTCGCATTTTGGTTCCCTACTGTGCGCTCCCTCTTCTCTCCAGCCGCCAAACCGCTCCAGCTCACGCCTTCTGCCAAACCCACAGGCAAGGCTGGAGACCCCAACTGCTCTCCCGGCCCGAGCAGTTACCTACCGGCGGGCCCCATGGGGCTGGCCCGGCCCGGGGAGGCGGCGGTGCGGGGCGCTTGGGGTTGGCAGTCTGAGCGACGGCACAGAAGCCGGCGGAAGGCGCTGCGGAAGTCCGAGCTGCGGCAGTAGATGAGCGGGTTGAAGGCGGAGTTCACGTAGCCCAGCCAGTTAAGGGGGAGGAGAACCGAGTTGGGGACGAGCGAGGGCCCCCCAAGGGCGCGCAGCACGTTCGCCAGGAAGAAGGGCAGCCAGCAGAGGGTGAAGGTACCCACGATGAGCCCCAGGGTGCGCAGCGCCCGGTGTTCCCGGAGGGGCAGGAGGCGCGCGGGCCGCGGACCACAGGGGGGACCGGCCTCAGGCTCAGCGAGCATCTCGGCCGCCTCGGCGGGGGACCGGGAGCCGGACGGGGGTGTCTGGGAGCTCCGGGGCGGGAAGCGGCCCAGCTCCCCGCGCAGCAAGCGCAGTTGCCGCCTGGCCGCGATGAAGACGCGCGCATAGACGAAGAGCATCACCACGAGCGGCAGGTAGAAGGACACGGAGGAGGAGAGCAGGGCATATGGCACGTTGGAGGCGAAGGAGCAGCAGCGCGGGTTGGAGTGGCAGAGCTGCGCCTCGGCGTCGGCGCCCACGCGCCACCACTGGCTCATGATGGGCGCGAAGGACACCGCGGCCGCCACCGCCCACACCAGCACCACGGCCGCCCGCGCGCGGCGCTTGGTGACCAGGGCGCGGTACCGCAGCGGGCTGGTCACGGCCAAGTAGCGGTCCACGGCCAGGACGCACAGTGTTTCGATGCTGGCAGTCACGCAGAGCACGTCCACCGACGTCCATAGCTCACAGCCGGTGGCGCCCAAAGGCCAGTGGCCAGTCAGCGCCAGGGTGGCTCCCGGAGGCACCACTAGGAGCCCCACCACCAAGTCGGCTGTGGCAAGCGAGGTCACAAACACGTTGGTGATAGTCTGGAGTCTCGGTGTCAGGGCGATGGCCACGGTCACCAGCAGGTTGCCTCCCACCGTGACCAAGGCCAGCAGCGCCCCGGCCAGTGCTGCCGCCCATGGCACCCCTGGTAGTGCACTAGGATGGGGTGCAAGGGTGGGGGAGTCTGGCCATGCACCCAGAGAGTGGTTCCTGTGGGTCCACGGAGCCATCCTGGCGCCGCGAGGGGATGGGAGGGGTCTCCCAGGGCCCCAGGCTCAGGGGATGGGACAGCTGGGCATGGGAGCTACTCCCCTGGCCCGGGCCACCATCTTCCCTAGTTGACAGGACACAGCGCTCTCGGCCTTCCCCTTCCCACCCTCGCCCCCACCCCCTGATGCCACAGCTCTGCGGGAGGAGCAAAGAGCCAGGACTTAAAGGGGCAGCAGCCAATAGTCCAGAAGGGAGAGGCCGCTGGAGGGAATGGCAAGGGGGGACCGCTGTCCACCAGGCCGTGCCTGCCCTGCAGCCTCAGCACAGAACTCTCACAATGGTTTCCCAGGACCGCCTGGCCACAGCCTCAGAGGAAGAGAAGGGAAACCCTACCCTGTGGAGGGAAAGGGGGCTCTCTCAAGACCAGCAAAATGCCCACCGGGGCCCCTCCTCCCCCGCCAATCTCCAGGTTTTTAAAGGAAGAGCAAGCAGCCTGTATCTTTCCCTCCTCCCAGCTACCCTTTCTCCTTCCCTTCCCTAGAGTATTCTCCCCATTTTTTTCAGCTCCTGACTAGGAAACTGGGTCCTTCTCACTGTTTGCCCATTTCCACAGGGGCTTGGTGTTGTGAGGCTAGAAGAGTTTGATCCCTCTATTATCCCCTCTTTGCTCCTACCCTTTCCACTCAGATTCTCAGACAGGCCTCCTCTCTTCATATTCTTCTTTTATAGGGTCTTTTTTCTTTTCTTTCTTTTTTTTTTTTCCAGAACCAGGGATTGAACTCAGGCCCTTGCACTTGCAAAGGAAGTGCTTATTCCACTGAGCCATCTCCCTGGCCCCCTTAGGGTCTTTTTTTTAAAGCAGCAAAATGAGGCCTGGGGTGGAAGAGAGTAGTAGTACACCTGCTAGCAGGCGCAAGGCCCTGGGTTCCAGGGCTGGGCAGCGAGAGGTAGGGTTTGCCCGTGTTTGGAGGTTGATCCTCAGAACTGGGGGTGGGGGAGATGAACCGTCTGAGGCGTGTTCTGCATCCTCAGATCTCCCCAGCTAGCCACAGCTCTTCCATCACCATGCTCCCAAGGCAGAGTGTCTATACCAGCTCCTGAAATATTTTATTCATTGAACTTCTAGAAACCAGGCACACTGAGTTAAGGAATTTACATTTTGTGTTCAAAGGAATCCTTCTATGAAATCTCTCCTAAGGTCTGAGCCAGGGATCTCCTGAAGAAGCCAAGGCCCTTCCAGATTTACAAGCCTTAGTTCTCCAGGCCAGCCCTCAATCACTAAGCCAGTTGTTCTCACACAGTGAAAATGAGCCTCTGGGTTCAACCTGAGGGGCAGGAAGAGAGGTCCATGGCTTTATGAGGCTGTATCAGGATCAGGTCCTTGAGCTGTCCACTTCCTCCCCTGAAACAATGGGACAAAGTGGGTAAAATTATTGTGGAAAATGCCTCCAGGACTGTGCCCTAATGTGTTCTATATTTCAAAAGAGCACTGTGTAGTCGCTGGTCTGAGCAATCCCTCTGGGAGGCTGAGCCAGCGGTTGGGAGTTAGGAAGGTTGAAGGAGAAGAGAGAACCTAAAATTATCCCTGAGGAAAAATAACCAGCTGCACTCCCAGGGACCCGGCAACTCACCCTGCTCGGGGTTGCCATGCCCATGAGGCACCCAAGAAGGCCTCTGGAGTCATGGGAACTCTGGGGTAGTGGGAGGGGTGGCCAGAAACCTTCCCCTCCCCACGCCCTGTGCCAGAGGGGTGCAGCTATGACCTCCCCATCAGCCATCATCCAAGCAATCACTCCCCACTCCCAAGTAGGGTTTTGCAACACCCCAGAGTGCTCACAGGCATGTCATAAACATCTCAAAGAGTAATCTCTGAAACAAGTACATACCAAAACATCAGAGTTGATGGGGAAAAGGAAAAGGAATCCAAGAACTGAAGTCAAGCAGCTTCAAAGGACATTGTTGCTTCAAGGAGTGACCTCTTTACTCAGAGGAATCATGCAAAATGTTTTCCCAAATCTTGTCAAAAAGACAAGATTTCCCAAATGGCACAAGATGCCTGATTTGGAAGGGCAAGTTGGCCACTAAGCAAGGATGCCAGGAGAAGAGGAAGGCTGGCCCCTGCTGACCAGGTCTCTGGCCACTCCAGCCTGCTCAAACCCTTCCTGCTATTTTCTGGGCTGGTTGTCCCTGGTGAGACAGCAGACAGGGTGCAAGCCTCCTTTTTCTGCCACTCTGGTCCATGGGCTTATTCTCTCTTTTCTGTAATTTTTTTTTTGCTTTTAATTTAATTTTTGGCATCATTTAAGTATCAGAATATACAGAATCTACAGGAATGGTGTACACACCTATACTCCCAGCACTCTGGGAGGCTGAGTCAGAAGGATCACAAGTTCAAGTTCCACCTGGGCAATTTAGCAAAATACTGTCATATAGATAGATAGATAGATAGATAGATAGATAGATAGATAGATAGAGATATGTAGATATAGATATATAGATATAGATATAGATATAGATATATAATAAGTTAGATAGCGAACACCTGCAATCTCAACACTCAAGCTGCTGAGATAGGAGGATTGCTAGAGTTCAACACCAGCCTGAAGTATATAGTATATAGTGAGTTCAAGGCCATCCTGGGTTATATAATGAGCCCCTCTCTCTAAACAAACAAACATATTGTGCTGGGAATATAGCTCAGTGTAAAGGCCTTGGGTTCAATACCCAATACACACACACACACACACACACACACACACACACACACTACAGACAATAGAAAGTTGCCTTCATCAATTTGTCAGGCTAGACCCCAAGGAGCAACTGAGACCGCTAAGACAGGCAGGATTGAAGAAAGCAGTAGTATCTTTATTTCAGAATGGGTGCACCCTGGTCAAGGACAAGAAGGCCATTGACTATGAACAAAGGAAAAGAGCCGACTTTATACACTAGTCTAAGTATGGGAGGGGGCACTTTACTGAGGAAGATGGAAAATTTTTAATTTCTCAGGGATCATAAGTGGGTCTGGTGACTCTTGAGGGGAGGGAAGTGCAGCGTGACGGTGGCACTGTACTGACGTATAGAGTGACAGTCTGTAGACTTATAGAGTTTCTAAAATAAAAATAAAATAAACAGATTTATTTTAGTCTTTCGGGCTGAGTAAGGGGGCTTTCCTGTTTGAACAGACTGGTCTGCCAGTTTTTCTCTTCAGAAGAGAGGCCTAATTGTGAGGACCTAACAATTTTCATCTCCCTAACATGTAAATACCAATAGGATCTTGTTTATCTTTAACCCTCCAGTAACATTTTATATAGGTCAAGATCAGTATATACTCTTACGTCCTTGCTTTTCTGCCAGTGGTAAAATATATCTTTCTTTCTTACTGTACTCTAACTGTATACCTGTGATCCTTTCAGATCAGTACACAAAAGCTTCTTATCTAAATATTCCATCTTGGAAAGAACCCACCAAATAGGGCAAACAATTAAACACAGGAGAATAAGAGGTATACAATAGTAGTCTTTCAGTTATTCTTTTGTGTTCAGCAGCAAAATATATCCATCAGCACACTCTACAAATAGACTTCCACCCTATGGGTCATGATTCCATCTGAGTCTATAGGGTGGATTTCAAAGAAATAGCTGTAGCTCAGTCCCACAAGTGACGCCTAGCCACCAGTAACTGTCATAGTCATTATGCATGTCCACAACACAGTAGAACTTTATGTGATATCCTATCCTCAAACTGTTAGAGGTGCTGGTCATTTATTTGCCATTCCAGTATTTATCTTATGTTTTACTCTTACTATTTCTTTGCTATCATGAAAACTTTTTCTTAGTTCAATTGTTTTGAAACATTTAATTTTTAATTAATTAGTATTTAATTTTCTGAATATTGCTTAATTTAATTTTTGTTCTAAGATTTATACTATATCTTGACTTACAATTTATTTAAAAGACATTGTATGATATCTTCTAGTATTAGAAACTTTAAAAAGTATATTTCCATTTTCTGTTGACTTTATATTACTTCTTCCCTGTCTTTTATACACATACACACCCACATTCATGAAAAAAAATATGGGTATAACCCAACATAAGATTGGTACTGTTTCATAGAAATCTGCAATGACCTTTTTTTTTTTTTTGCAATGACCTTTAAATAAGGGTTCATCTAATATCTTTTATATAGTCCTGCATAACTATCATATTGAGAGCTCTTTATTGTTCATCCAGGAGCATACTGCGACTTCTCTTGCCTTTTGAATTATGCTCTTTGTTATTTCCTATATGCTACTTCTGGAGGTATTAAAATATTTCAAGATTGTATAACTAGAAAATCTCACTTTTAGTTTTCAAAGGTATGTTTCCTAAGTATAAAATTCAAAGAGGACAGATCTTTTCTTTTAAGTCCTTTAATTAGTCTAGTTTCTTATGCACTTGGTTCTTTTTTTTCTTTCTAATGTGGAATAAGATGTTATTTAATTTTGTTTTTCCATAGCTCATATTTTTATGTATATGCCTTAATTATTTTTTTCTTTACAATAAGTTTTGGACAATTTCATTTTTGTGTATCTTGGTATGATTTTATTTAAATTTATTGTGCAAAAAGATTCATTTTTCTTGGAAATGAAGTATTATAAGTTGAACTAAATTCAGAAATTTTAAATCTTTAAATATGTATTGCCTACTCCTTTCTACTTTGAGAATTCTAATTATATGAATATAAGTATCTTGGTTTTGACACAGTGAACTATTATGATTGATCTGTAAATTCTTTCTTCATTTTTATTTTGGACAATTTTTATTGTTATATTCATTTATGTTTGTAAATAATTTATTTCAATTTGCAATCTATTAAAAAATAAAATAAATATTCCATCTTATGGACATACCATAATGCATGAAGCTAATTGTCTAATAATAGACATCTAGATCTCTCCTTTCCTCCTTTCCTTCCTTCATTTTACTTCTGAGGATTGAACCCAGGGTCTCCACCCTGCACTACTTGCCCCCACCCA